TATCAAGACTCCACATTACTGTTATTTTGGCCCAGCAATAGCTGTATGACTAGATGCTATAAATCACTAATGCAAAAAATAACTGAATTCCCATCTAAAATTTCAAGACTGAATGAGCCCAATTTACTTTTCTGTAAACCATTCCTGTCTTTATTCAGACATGTAGCTAAGTAACCCTAAATAACCCAGAAAATGTTTGGATCCTGAATCTAGCTTTGCTAAATTGGATTAATTGGATGGGAGAAGGACCAGAAAGAAAAAATGATGAAAATTATTGGACACGTTTATTCAGAAAAACCATTCTTGAGAATGTTATGTTTCAATGTTGAAACACAGTTTCAAAGAATTTGGGAAGTATTATTTCCTAACTGACTACTGGGTAGCGTAAATGGGTTATAACAGATACACATTTGTATAAACATAGCTTTACATATTGTCCTAAGGTTGATGCTTTTCTAAGACATTCTGCCTCACCAACTTGTTTCTAGTAGAGGTGGGACATCTATTATTTGGGTTGGTCAGTGGAAACTAAACCTGTCCTCTCTTGCTGGCTTGCCTCAACAGTTCTCCCTTACAAACAGCCATCTCTTCTGAGAGCTAAGAGAACTGAACAAGGTTGCAGAGCATAGCCTTTCCAGAGCTTGTTACCAATGCTTTGTGATTGTTTGTCAGAACAAGAGGCTAGATTCCCCTTTCACACCATCAAGCATGTCCCTGGCTTCCCTTTTCCTGCTGTACCCCAGAAATGACAGGCAGCTCAACCTTCTGCTCTATGGCAAAGGGCCTTCTTGGAAACTCTCCCAGGATTTCCTGGCCTAACATGCAGTCAAAATGGCTGGATTATAAACAGCCATTAGTGGCCAGGGTTCAATTGCAATAGTTCTGGCAAAATTTGATATAGGTGCTTAACATAATAAATATTCCTTCTGAATGATGGTCTTTTCAGTTAATCAAACTAATTTCATTATTGGTTTTCAAATTGGCATTCTGAAAACATTTGTATGCTGCATATAGTTTAGATAGATGATTTTAAATGGTCCAAAATAGTAGTAAACACTTTTCACTACATTAGGATGCATTACATTAGGATCATTTCCTTAATTTCACTCAATGTTCCGCTCCTATGCAGTCACTGGATAAATTCCTGACTTCTGCCCCAAACCTTGTCTTGAATATGCAACCAGGCTCCCATTCAAAGTATGTTTTCTCTGAAGAAGAAATAAGGAACCTGCGTCTTTTCCATCATTTCAGATGTAATTGATTAAATCTTCCAGCCTTATATATCCAGAACTTGGTGGGTCAAAGTTTCCTTACCTGTCTTTTAAAATAAGTAGTGTTGATTTTTCAAGTATACACTATTTTTATTTTTCACATTTTTGAACCACATATCTTTAAAAAAAAATCAATTTCCAGTTATTCATTTATTATGTATTATAAGCTGGTTTATAATTGTGCTGAGAAAACATTATATTAAATTAATTTAAAGAACATAATACATCACCAGTGGCAGATGATCTTTTTTCTTTTCTTTTTTCTATTTTATTTAATAGGTTTACTATTAACATACTTATGTCAGAATAATATCACTTTATACTACAGGTGGAGTCCCATGTATCCTAACAATAACTATGTAATGAGGGCTGCTTTTTGCAATCTCTTCAGCATTTAATTGTTTATTTTGTTTGGGGTTGTTAGTTTGAAATGGGAAGAGGCTTTCTGTCAAATATGGTCTGAAGTGGCATTGTCAGGAGAGTGCTATACCTCATCTGCTGTTTATACAACTGGACCAGAGATAGGAAGAATAATATGAGGGAAGACTATAGTACCGTACTCCCATCTAGATAGAGTAGACCACTATTGTTCACTAACATATTTTCCACTGAAATCGATGTTTTTTTCTTGGTTGGAGATAATTACTACTTTCGAAAAAGTAAACCATGGAGCAGAAGAATGGGAGGCACCTTTATGTGATGCAAAGAAGTAACAGGTTCCCAGAGTTTCCTTGGGAAGACTTTGGAAGTGATTTGCCATTGTCTTCTTCCTGGGGTTGAGAAAGTGACTGGGCCAAGATCACTTGGCTGGTTTTGTCTCTAAGATGGAACTAGAATTCAGTCTCTCAGTTTCTAGTCTGGTGCCTTAACCACTACACCACACTGGTTCTTTTACAGGCACAATACTCAGTGATTTCCATGTCCTTCACTGGAAGGAAAGAAGGAGAAGCAGCAAAGAAAAAGTTTGCTTTCTCTAAGCTTACCCTCCCCACCCAAGTCAAAAAATAGAAGGTTGAGCAGAACTACACTGGTAAATTCTATAAATTATATAGACATGATCACATATTCACCAAACCAGAACTTTTTTCTTTGACAGGCTGGCTCAATTATTTTTGTTTTTCCAGTGTTAAGGTTTCAGAGATAGAAAGGCTTGTGAGTTCTCTCTCACTTGTTGGCAGAGTGTGTTTATGTATATGTGTGTATTACATGTCTAAAACAAGTTTTTTTTCTTGTCTAGTGACTATATGAGTGCTTTGTGTATATACCAGTGTAGATGCCAACTGATTATCCAGTAGAATTGCAACCAGTGAGTTTTTAATCCCTTCTACAGTATTCTTAATTGGGTCTACTCAGAAGTAACTATCATTAATTAACCAGGAAGCTGCTTCCAAGTCACTTCATTTAGAATTACAGTACAAGCATTTGACTTTCTAAAATAAAACACAATATCTGCTAAAATATGGTTCTGCATTGGGTAGATGTCCCTGTGTTATAGTTGTAATACAAAATGCTAACACAAAATTTGGTTACTTTTGTGCAGCAAAGGCATATCATAAGAAATCAAGAGACAGTGGTTGGGAAAATAAATGGAATTCTAGATTACTACATAAGAAATTCTATCTATTGTAGCCAGGGTTTGGTGTGTGTGTGTGTGTTAAATAAACAGCAATTCCAACGTCTTTTATTTTCCTGATGGTGAAATCAGGCGTGCAAGACTGATCATATCTGCTGTATAAGGCCAAGCCAAGGTGGTCTTATTTTGCTATTCAGATTTCTACATTCGCATTAAACCAGGCTCCCAGGAAGCGATAGCAGCAGCTTGATTTAAGGCACACTCAAGGAGGGCCATTCAGAGCTCAGAACTGCGTTATTTGTAGGTGCCCCCCCCCCCGCATTCGTATCTGAGCAAAGCCCTAATGAATTTAATCTGAGCGACACCCTTAGGAAGGAGAAAAGGACTGAATCGAGGGCGGAGGTTGATCAGACCCCGGGCCTCCAGCTCGCAAGGCCTTTTTGATTGATAATGTGCCTTGCTAAAGACCAACCTCCTGCTTTTCTGGGCAGAAGGCATTGTTAGCCGGAAAAAGGGGAGCGAACAACCACGTGGAGTTAAGAAATAGGAGCTCAGTGAATCCGTTGCCTGGCCAGAGCAGCTAGGGGAAGCCAGGCGGAAGCAGCCAGGAGCACCGAGATCCCATTCCCCTTTTGGCCAGCCATTAACAGCAGCAGCGTCTTCAAGACTAATTCATGAGATAGGCAGGACACGTACCCAGGACTGGGCGTGAAGTTCTCGTTAGCTTTCGATAAACACCATCTGGAGCGCCGCTGTCTCCAGCTCGCTCTCGAGTTTTTCTTTCCCGAGTGCAGCACAGCGGCCTGACCTCTAAGTCAGCTCCCCGAGGACAGGCGAGAGGGGTCTGGCGATGGCGATTTCAGTTCCTTCGTCGGCATGTCCCTCGGCGGGAATTCCGCTCACCAAACACCACGGGGAAGGAGACAGGGAGCGAAACACCAATGCCGTGGTTGGGCCGTTGGGGATGCCGAGATTTGCAGTCTCAGGAAATCCTGAAGAAAAAATGAGGGGAGGGGAAAAGCCCAACGCACGCAAAGGAGGGGCAGAAAACCAACTAGTCGAGGTTTCCACTAAGAACGTAGCTGCAAGGGCCTCTGTGCCATGAGGGAATGATGGAAGAATGCAGCTTCCATAGGCAGCCCCAGAGAACCCGGTTAAGCAAGGGCGTAATTGGAATCAGGCAATCTGGGTTCAGCCAGGAGCGTGGCACGTCTCCCCAGGATTGCCGGGGAGTTTATCTTTAAGAGGGTCGGATCATAGTCCTCTGACAACTCAAGTTCTTTTAAGGCTACAGCCTTAACACTAGATAATGAGTGATAAAATATGCTTCAGAAAGTTTGGGGGAAAAAACAGCACTTGAAGGGTTTAAATAAGGAAATAATTAACTTTACCAGTTAAGACTGGTAACTCCGAAAAGGAAGGTGAAGTAAAACATCTTACTTCTACTTAGTTCAACCCTCAGTTTTCAGCTGTCTCTATCTCGTGGGTTCAGCCAATAAATTTTAATGTCTACATTAGTTATAAAATGTATGTTTTATAAACAGAATTACAGTATAATAGGTTGAGTCCTTGTGTTACTTATGGGAGGAGGTGGAATAAGTGCAATGTCTTCAGACCTATAAACTCATGAACAGAAAACAAGACTGAATCCGCCCCAAACGGATTTAAGTTCTCCTTTCAGGCCCTTCTGAGGAAAATCTTTCCAAAGCATTTCCAATGCAGGAGAGACATTTCATTTAAAACTTGTTCCCTTCCCCCTTAAGAGCATTTATTCGACTGCTTAGGAAATCGGTGTCTTTTTGTTGTTTCTATCAGCTGTTTAGAAAGCTGAAGAGCTTGTGTGTACACCCAAGGTTTCAGGTTTCAAATGTAGGTAATTTTCCCTCCTACTTTGAGAGGAAAAAAAAGAGGTAGGCCCACCTCTTTCTTCTTTTCTACGTATAAAGATGCAAGCCAAAAGCAGGAACTATATAAAATGTTTTCAGACCAGAAAGTTGTTCAAAGGAACTCCTATTTATTTCCCTTTAAACATAAGAGATGTGCATGATTAGAAAAGGGAACTTCAGAAGTGTTCTGGCATATTGAGTAAGCCACATATTAGACTAGGAAAATGTAGCTAGGATTCAGGTTTAAACGTGCTTTCTTTTCCCCCACAGATTCCTGGACTTCTTGATGACAAACAGGCAGATCATAGTTTTTCTGGAGTTCTGTGTATTGGATCTTCTTTTCTCTATTTTTTTTTTGGTCTTGATGTAAACAGCTTATACCCGCTTTTAAAGACTGGGGTGAAAGGGGGTGGGGATATAATTACCACTCCAGTGGATGATAATAAAATTTCATTCATTTTCACCGGGCTGCTTTATGGTCCCTTTCCGAACTTGCTACTTTTCATGGTCATTAACAAGACCTGTTCAATTAGAAGCAGGTCCCAACGGAATATAACAGACTTCCTGAAAAGCATGTTTAGATCTACAGTTCTTTTACACAGTTGGAAGTTTTTCGAGCAAGGATCGGAAGTAAGAATCAGAGACGACTGCACAATTACTGCTCAAGTTTCTTACAAAGCCAGACCCATCATGCTCAGTGCGGCTTGTTCCAAAGCATATACATATAGACTGCTGACATACTTAACAATTCCTACTTGTGCCTTTTTTCACTAGAGATGTATCTCATCATCCAGCCATAGTTGTCGCGACATAAAGCCTGTAATGAAATGAAGCCTGTCTTCACTGCTAACGTATCGGCCAAGCACTGGTTGGTTGACACGATAGATAAATCTCTGTAATGGGGACCGGTACTACCCTACTCCTGTGATAAATTGCCATGGAATGCGCGCGCACCCCCCACTTCTTGAGGTACAGTTATTTCCTGTAGATTGCGTCTTGTGAATTCCAGCCACCGCTGAATGCAGTAAAGAACCACTAGTCGCGAGCGGAAGAACCGAATAAGCGAGTATCAGTCAAGATGGGCGTCGCAAACCCGACATCCACCAGCTGACCTACTAAGTCAAAAATACCACTCTCGCAGCCGATACGCCAAAGGACCAGCGTCCCAGCGATCCAAATTGTACTGAGGGAAGCCGGCCTGCGAAGTGCTCCCCGCGATTTCCAAGTCACATAGAAACGTGTTTGAAAATTTCAGAGACTACGGTCTCTGACTACAGAGCATTGCCTTTCAGAAATCAAACGAAGGGAAGCCGTTTGTTATTCCGGAAAGTAGCTGCTGAAAAACGAATGTTTCTCATTACAACAGAAAGGCTCGGGGCAACGGGGCGGGGGCGGAAAGGCAGAGCATCCCACGATGGGACAAAAATAGCGAATAGGGAAGACGAGCCAAATGAAGAGCTGTGGGTGCAGAGCCGATTAACAAAACACGGGAGGAGGGAGACGCTCGAGGAGAACGACGGTTTGTATGCTTCTGGAGAAGCGAGATAATGGAAAACGGTTCGTTTGAGGGAGACTTAAGTATAGGTTGGAAGGAAGGCAGAGCACACGCCGTACTCTTAAAAAAAGGAGGCCCTGAGAGGCATTTCCGTGGGGGGAGGGGAGCGCGCTGGTCAAAGAAGATGGAAAGTGCAAGGGGGGCATATGGGAAAGGGGTACACTGTGCGTGACAATAGAGCGCGTGGGAGGGGAGGGGGAGACAAAGAAACAGTCCTTCTGGGGCTCTCGGGGATGTGAGAGCAGAAGGAAAAACGTGGCGGCCAGAGAATGGTCTCACCTGGAGTGGGGGGGGGAATGGTTCTCCCTTAACAAGGAGAACAAGGATGACTTCCGCGGCATGGGCACTTTTTCCTCGCCGTCATGAAGGCCGAGGGACAGCTGCGAGCGGCACAGAAAGGTGCTGTGAGAAGGCGGGGGACGCATCCTGAGGCAAAAAGCGGCTTGCACTGCTGGGGCGAAAAGGCAAAGCAGCCCGGGCGGCGAGCGCGGCGGTCTAGCGCTGGTGTCTGGCTGCGCCTGCTGCTGGGGCTTTGACAGCTTGGCTAAGCGGAGGGAGAGGAGCTTTATGGTAATTGCAGCTCTCCACTGGCCTTCTGGGTAGCGAGCCGAGCCGAGCAGGGAGTCTGGAAGGGGGCGGGAGACTTTCCTTTTCAACCTCTCTTGGTCAAAAGGGGAGCGGAGTCTCCTCAGGACGCCCTCAGGCGAAGAAGCAGGCAGGGCGTGTGGAAAGGGGGGCTTGTTGAGACCAGATCAGCCAAGAGAGAAACAACGAAAAGCCAGGAAACAGAACGGTGGGAGGGAAAGTGGAGGAGGAATCAATTAAGAGGAGAAAGCGAAGAGCCTTGGAACAAGAAAAAAGCGAGGCACTCGTGAGTGAGGGGAGAGAGATTCGCTGGGAGAACACGGCGGCGGCATTGCCTCTGCTTCTGCTGGAAGCGGCTCCCTGAGTGCTACACCCGCGGGGGGAGGAGAGAGAGAAGGGGGCGGGGAGGAGGAGGAGGCCGTGCGGGGGGGGGGACCGTGCAGCAGACGGAGCCCGCTCTCCCAGCGGCAAGGTGAGGAAGAACGGCTTTCCCGGTGGATTAAATCCCCAGAGCCAACCCAACCACACACACGCACACTCACAGCCGCCGCCAGGACACGGGCTCTCCGAAGGGAGGGGGAAAGGAGCCTGTAGGCGCCGCCAAGATCAGTCCCGAGAAGCCACAGCAGCAACATGGCGTTACTAAAGCGGAGCCGAAGAGCAATCGGAGGGAGCCCGGCGGGCTGTTGAACTCAGCCGAGGGAAACGCTGGCATTCGGCCTCTCTCCGCCCACTCGGCCCCACCTGCCTCTGGCTAGTTGAGCCGGGGTCAGTTTGTCAGTCTCTGGGGCAACTCCGGCCTCTCGCTTCCGAGGTCGTCAAACTTTTCTCGCTCACCTAGAAAACGGACGCGGCTCACTCGAAAAGGGACAGGCGACGGCAGCGCTGGACTCGGTGTCCCCGGCAGCGTCTCTGGAGCGGAGACTAAGGTCAGTGATCTTCGCATCAAATGCTCCTCGCGTTTCGCGGAAGCGCCGCGGCGGGCCAGCCACCTGAGGGACCCCAAGCCTGACTCGTCCGAAGAATCTGTCTGTCTCCTCGCTTAGACTTCTCGGCTTGTGCTAAAGTAAGAGCGAGGCTAGGCGTTCTTTTCCTTCCACACCAGGTGTGGCTGGGATGCGTGTGAAGGTGCGCATGAGAAAGAAAGAAATAAAAAGACAGCGCGCGCCTTGCTTGAAGCCTGCCTTTCTAGGGCTGGGATTGTTGCCAGAATTTATTTCAACTTAAAAGAATCCGGAATCCCAGGAGGAAAGCGGAATAGAGAAGACAGAGAGATTAGCAAATCCAGCGGTCGCAGCCTAGATGTTCCCTGGCTGAGAATTGCGGGTGGGGTACTCCGGGGACGATTGTGTCGTGCGGGCTGGCTAGAAGTTTGGTAGCAGTTGGGCTGTGAAGCAGTGTGTGTGTGTGTGGGGGGGGGGCGATGGAGAGACGAGAAAAGAAAAGCTGCCGCTCGCGGTCTGTCTGCTCCAGCAGGAAAGTGGGGGCAGGGAGGGAGAGCTTACGGCGTCTCATTCTCTTTTATCTCTCCGATTTGGAAAGGCCTGTAAAAGCCCCACCTCTGGCAGCCGCCACTTTTCGGCTCCCAGGGGGAAAGGGGAAAGTGGGTGGAAGGGAAAAACGCTCAGAGCTCGATCGAGGAAGCTCAGGGCCCCGGGAAGTATTGCTGGAAAGGCTCTTTGGTTCGTCCTTATGGATCGCTGAGCAGCGGACTAAAAAAGATGAGTGCCGGGAACTGAATAGTGACGTGTGGCTGAGGAAAAAGACTTCTGTATTTCAGTGGGTCTGCTTGTTTTCCTAGGGACTCTTTGAGAAAGCCTGTGGGGGCAGTGACTGGTTTTTTCACCGGTGGTTTTTGAGGCCACTGGAGACTCGATTTGGCGGGGTGGGCAGGGGATATTCCAGTGATAGTATTCCGGTTCCAAGAATGTGTGTGAAGAGCGTGGGGCCCAATATAACAGTTGGTAATCTCGCGGGTCCGTCGCATCTTCCATATAGCTACGGGTAGCTTAAAAAGTTGTCTGGTAGTCCCCGGGGCAGAGAAAGGTGCCCGCTCCCCGCTTCCCCATCGACTCCAGGGATGCCAGAGCACCGTGTCTGAGGCACGTAGCTCCTTTTTGTCTCGCCCAGCTGCTTCGGGGGCGATCTTTCGCTTGTGACGCTTCGCTTACCTTCCGTGCTGGCATGCTGGCTATATCTCAAACTCACAAGAGCGAGGTACGTCGGCGGCTCCGGAAAGAGGGCTGGGTCGAGAGGAGTGTCTTACCCGCGCAGAAGGATTTTGGCAAAATTTGCGTTTTATTTTAATGGCGATCGCCCAGGAGCCTGTTTCCGCATTATTCTAACGATCCTCCCTCTGGGGTTTCCGTCTGTTCCGAGGAAGCCTGTGGCTTTGTGTTTCCTTTCTCTGAAAAGGACGCTGACGGAAGGACGACCTGTGCCGAGTCCAGCTTTGTCAAGGTTTTCTGAACTTTTGCCTGCTCGAGGCTCCTTGTGAAGGAGGCCCAGGGCAAAGGGATCCCTGAGCTGGGCCCCTCGAAGTCTATCTGCCGACCAAGATAAGCGGGATTTCATTCCCCCCCCCCTTACGTGATAAGACGCCAAACGCCCTTACAGCCTCTCTCTGGGGCATTAGGGAAAGAGCCTACAGGTCAAAACCAGCTGCATTAGGCATTCATCCTTGGCAAATGGGTCCTTCTTTCCCTCATGCGCCTATTTTCATGCTGTTAAGTCCCATTTCTAACCACTATTTGTTCGCTCGCTGTCTATATCAACTTTGTTTTGGAAATACTATAGTCGCACCAACAGGCTTGTCCTGTTGGTGCGATGCCCTCAAGATAGGGATAACAATTTTCAAACCATTTCCCTTATTATAGCAAAGCAGTGGAACTGCTCTAGAGAACCAGGAGAATTATGCTTATTCTTAGGTCTCTCCTTCAACCCACTTTTACAAGTCATGTATGTGTTTCCGTGGATGGTGGTCGGTTTGTTTTCCTGCGAACAAGGGAACAAACCCCTTACTTGATTTTAGGAGGGCTGTAAAGAAGAGGGTTAATCTTTTCCCTCCCCCACTCACTCTCGAGCTGTCTTAAACTCAGGAGAGTTATCAGAATTAGTAGTTGTGCGTTTCTCCATAGTATCCTTGACAAAGAGTGGTGCAAGCCACTGTATGTTCCCCACCCATGGCAGAATTTGCCATCTAGTTCACATCGTGCAAACTACCTTGTTTCGAAATAGGGATGGTGATCCCAAGAAACTGAATCTGTGGGCTAAGCCCCTTAAATTTGGGAATGCCTGGAAGGCCTAGATTCTAATCCATTCTTACCCCCACTCCACTCATTTGATTTATTATATTTGAATGAGCCCAACCTTCGTTCGGTTACAGAATAGGAACAGAAAGGAGTGGTACATCTCTGGCGACTGTTAAAAATAGCAGGCAATATCCCATTTGTCTGGCACGAAGGTGGACATTTTCTAAGCATTTTGAATAGTCTTTGGGGCTAGTAGGGCAGACAATTTCTTTATCCTTCTCCCTTTCTCGAAGGTGGGGTAGAACAATTGAGAGGGAAAAAAGAGAGGCTTTTCCCCGGTATTGTTTCGGCCGCCTATGATAGATCGGTCTAGACAGCCGTTCAGGCTCCTTCCGAGCGAAAGAACCGGAGCCTGAAAAGGGAGTGTGGGGGAGACCAAGAGGAAAAGGTCAGCACGTTATTATTATTGAGAATGGTGGTGTTAACCCTTCACGGGTCAAGGCCTTAACTCGATTTTTGTGCGTTAAAGGAATAGACCAGGTTAGTCAGTGGCTATGATCATGTGCTTTTTTAGGGCAGATCAGAGTGAACTCTTAAGTTGCCCACCCTTGTTATCTAAATGCCTCGTGAATATCATTTTCCCACCTCCTTTTCAAGGCGAGTGCCAGAGCCTTCCGTTCCCAAAAGTTTCCTCTTGTTTGGGAACTCCGCTGAGCTCGCTTAACCCCATGTCCTGGTGGTACCGAGCCAGACAAATACCAAGGAGCACTAGACAAGCCAGACGTGGAGGAGGGAGCATCAAACTGGAGAACGACAGATCACTTTTCCCCAGGATGGAGAGTGTGTCTGTGTGTATGTATGCGTGTGCGTGCGCGCGCGCGCGTGTCTGACATAAAAGGACAAAGCTCAGCCAGATAGCTCTCCGGGCAAAGATCTCTCGGCAAACAACCTTCGGAGCAGAATCCAGTTTCCTTCTTCAACGGCGGTGGTGGGTGGGGTTTGGAAAGTAGGGAAACGCGTCGGTCAGGACTGACTTTGTTTCACACTGCTGCTGGGTTGGCTGGCTTCTTTATATTTGTTTCATACAAACGGACCAACCCAGGCATAAACTCACCCTCCGCTGCCTTGAGGCGCTTTATACTTGCCTGCAGACTCAGAGGGTAAACAGAGGTTCTGACTTTGCGAGCACGCCTCGATTTATGCTTTATTTTCTGAGATCGAGGAAGGGAGAACGAGGAACGCCAAGCCACTCTCGGAGGAATACAAACGCTCATCCTTTCCGATGAACTGTCCCCCCCCCCCGCCCTGCCTCGGGTCGCAGACCCTTTCTCAGCCCCAGGGAAAGCTGATTTGCTTTGGATTTGCCCTGCAGCGCGGATCAGCTTTTTTTTCTCTCTCTTTGTCTGGAGCTCAGACTCCCGGCGCTCCAGCCCTCTCTGGAAAGGTTCCCGATGAGGAGTCCACGCAGAGCCAAGCAGGCAGCTCGGCAGTTCTTTGCACGTCACATCTAAATACATCGGTAATTAGATGGAAGCACCGCCGGAAATGATAGATTGGCTGCATAGCTAATAGGGACGAGGACAAATAAAGCTTACAGCGCCTCTTCCCCCTCCCCCGAATAAGTGGGCCCTGGAAATCAAGCCCAAGATCTGGAGCGAGAACTGAAATTACACGTCTTCTGTTTTACGGCTGTAATCAACCAAACAGATGAGAGTCTCGGTTGCTCCCCTGCTGCAAACAGTTCTTGAACGTGTTTGCTGCAGGGAGGTGGGAGGAGGGAACTCGGGAGTCTTTTCAAAATCCTCTGGGTGTCTGCTAGCTAAATATATACACCTATGAGAAAGGCGGGAGTGGCGGGTGCACGAGAAAGAATCCGATCAATTAATGGAACCTCAGGCCTGTGTCTTCATTCCCCAAACTCGCACTGAAGCCGAGGTTAAGCGCCCTTATGGAAATTAATGGGTGTCGATGCAGAGACGTCAAGGAAGATTCTTCTAGCTCTGAGGCGCGGGAATAAAATACTAGCATTTGGGGGGCAGCCATCCAAAGTTAAATGGCAACGACTGCCATGAGTACCACCGATTTCAAGAGTTGGGAGCATCTGGAAGTTGTGTTCTGTTAGCTCCCTGCTACTTCGGGCTGTTCGATTGGTCCCTTTCCTTCAATCATGGTTCTTTGCATTTGTATAGCGCTTGACATGCCTTTGACTCTAGAGAAATGTGGCCACTTAAGCAGACTCTTGCTAACTACCAGCATTCAGTGACTTTATTGTGCTTAAAATAGCTCTTCCCTGCCCCCATTCCTTTCTGCTTCTGATGTAAAACCCACTGTTGCAGGGGTGAAATCCAAAATTTTTCCCTACCGGTTCTGTGGGCTTGGTGGGCATGGCAGGGGAAGGATATTGCATTCCATTCTCACCCCACTCCAGGGGAAGGATACTGCAAAATCTCCATTCTCTCCCCTGCTGGGGGAAGGCTATTGCAAAATTTCCATTCCCACCCCATTCTGGGGCCAGCCAGAGGTGGTATTTGTTGGTTCTCTGAACTACTCAAAATTTCCGCTATCGGTTCTCCAGAACCTCTTAGAACCTGCTGGATTTCACCCCTGCACTGTTGACATTACTGCAGGCTTCCTAGGCCCTATTCCCTCTTCCTATTCCAAAGCAGAAGGGTTGAAAA